ACACACACACACACACAAACACACACACACACATACACACACACACACACACACACACACACACACACACACACACATACACACGCACAAACGTGCATGCATGTCCACAATAGTATGTCAAAATGTTGATAAAAATGAAAGTGTGCTGGAATAGTAAAATAGTACCGGTCACAGATTTAGACGTATTAAACATTTAGTAGTAATATAGTACACTCACTATATAACTGTTTCTTGCCTCTCCAGAAAACCTCGTATTTCGATATATTAGGGCAATGATGAATGACGATGGCGATATATAATTATATATAAGCCTATACTATATAGATATACGACGCCACGAAAATTAAACTATGTTGACCTTGTACGATTTCGGGCTTTTTCAAATAACAGGTAACCAAAACTATTAGGAAACCCGCTCAGATATGCATTTAATTTTGTTGATTAATTCATGTTACAAATACTAAACCATAATAGGCTACCGTATTTGAGAACGTCTGTATGTACTATTTTTATTACTTCGCAATGCCACTTTTGAAAGTCATTTGACAAAGATTTCACCTTACACGGAATTCACCGTCGCACTTCTTCAGCTGCACCCCACCCCTCATCCGTCATTACCCACGTTTCTTAAACTACATGAAATTATTAAATATCAATGAAGGGTTCCAACGCAAAAATAACTCAATCATGTAATCGGGTAGCATGATTGGCCTCTGCTATGCACTATATTTAAAATATCTTTAATTTAAAAAAAAAAAACTTTTAGTGCATTTGTTTGTTGCGGTGCAAGCTATGTACTTCATTTGTAATCCTTCTTAAAAACTGTTGATTTTCTTCAGAGCCCGACTGTAAAGACACAAATGGAAGTTGCCCGTACTGGGCCGACAACGGCTATTGTACCAGATACTCAGCTTGGATGAAAACCAACTGTAAATTAAGCTGTGGAGGATGTCTTTGTGGTAAGAAACATGTATAATAATGTATCTTATAATGTTTATAATATATGTCGTATAATGTGTATCATAGTGTGTCGTATAATGTTTTAGTTTAGTTTTAGTAGAAGTTTTAGAGCGCTCGCAACTGCATTAGGTCATATGAGCGCCAAGGGGTGGATGTCAACAGAGAAGCCCTTACAGGGAATCCGGCTTACTCTGCTCACCTCTTTAGCTTCAACAGCACAAAGTCTGTTTCGAGTAGTTTTGACTATCAAGGCACCCCGAAAATAACGGGTCACAAGAGTGTGACAAACATACAAAAGAAGTAGAGGGAAAATGGCGATAGTAAGGATTAGGAAAGAAAAAGCAGCAGTTCCCCGCTTGCAGTTCAGGCACAGTTATAAGCATGACATTGATTGATCCGCCTATTTACAATTCTACTATGCATAAGAACATATTTATGTCCCTCTTTGGGTCGTATAATAATGTGTCGTATAATGTGTATAACAATGTGTCTTATAATTTGTGTAATAATGTGTCTTATAATGTGCATAATAACGTGTTTTATATTGATAATGCGTCTAATAATGTATATAATATTTTATCTTACAATATTGTGTATAATAATGTGACTTTCATTCAGAAGGGTGCAATACTAGCTCAGTTTGCATCATTGTGGTTGGGTAAGAATCAGAGGACCTTCGTTCGAATCCTTACCACTTGAACTTGATTATGTTTATCTGTGTTTTAAAGGCTATCCACCATCTTTTCTCGGTCTTTCGGGGATGGACTTTTAATATTGAAGTTCTCGGCTCTAAGAAAACCTCACAGGATCACAAAGACAAGACAGTTCTAGAGGACAGTGCACACCAACGAAATAATATTACTATGGACGGAATATATCTGAGCTCTTTTAGATGGAGAATAATGGCATTGTTCTGTTTTCGAACGCAGCATAGACTTGATCATTATTTTGTTGCAAGCACTGTGTGTGTGTGGAGGAGACGGAAGATAGGGTTCATTTCAGTTGAAGTTTGTTGGTCTAAACTTAAGCTTGGTCCATGAAAAAATAGCGTAATGTTTCATTTCATCAGAGCTTCGGCCTTGATCTCGTTGGTATCTGGGGGAAAAAGTCGCGCCGAAAAAAGCGGAGCGACTAGCGAACAAACTTTGCGTTTTGGGAGCCAAACAAGCAACTAGCTTTTCAGCTATAGGATATTATATTTATTATCCTGTTTGCATGTTGTTACTCGCTAGACTAATGTAATAAAACTGATTTCCCGTGTTATGTTCAATTAACTGTAAAGGGGGGGGGGGGGAGTCTTTGGTGAAGGATACCTTACAAACTTGGCCAAGATACTTGTATTTTGGAGTGCGAATCTGAACGAGATCTGAATAGTACACATTTTTTGGCCAAGCTTATTTGTTCGAATGGGAGACTCAGCTATTACATGTACGCTTTTAGTAACTCAAAACAGAACTATTTGGGTGTAGGCTAGGGCCTAATGTGGCGGAGGGTGGTGAGGGAGGGAGGGAGTTAGCGAAGTGAAGAAAGGGTGGGAAGGGATTAGTTTTCTAACAGGTTGACTTCAAATCTCACAAAACAGCCACACGCAGACAAAACAACTGTTAGTTCAGCATTGCTCAAAGTCTCAGAAGAAAAGAACAGTTAGGGTCTAACAATCTTTTTTCTCCCCCCTTCCCAATCCGGATCCGGAAAAACAAACTATCTAGGAGCCAATATGCCTCTCTTGTACTGGTCCAATGAGCTGGCCAACTACGCCGCGGCTCGGGTGGACAAATGCGAGTACAAGCACGACCCAGCCAAGAAGTACGGTGAAAACCTCTACATGATGTATTATCATTTCCTGGACGCGGACGTGGCAGCCACAACGGCGTCCCAAGCCTGGGGAGACGAGATCCAATACGTCACACCCGACTGGGCATGCGCATACGGGCCGAAAACGAAAGAGACGTGCGGTCACTACTCGCAGCAAGTATGGAACACCACCACACAAGTGGGGTGTGCCGTCGGTCACTGCTATGGGGGCGGCCCCTATCCTAGGGGTACCTACGTCTTCTGTGAGTACACACCGAAAGGGAATCTTATCATAAATGATTTGACCGGAAAGAAGATCTACGTCCCGCCCTACTAGACCAGCTCCAGAGATACAAACAGCAAATCGCTTCTACCCTTAATAACTTTTTTGAAGTTTCAGCTTAAAAGTCCTTTTTTCAGTTTGGCTCCTCTTTTCATCTGGTCGTCCGGTAGCATCATATCCGATGTATTATTTGTTTATGCCATTTCTATTCGAACTGATAATATCTCAGTCTTCAAGTTACCTTGGCTGTATCTTTAGTAGGCGATCTTTTCCAGTTACCTAAAGATATACAAGGACTAAGTCTCATTTTCTTGCACAAAGTTTGAAAATATAAATTATGTCTACGAAGCACAACAGAAAAACACCAACGACTGAAAATATTAGGCCAAGAGTCAAATGTAACTGCACATTGGTTCTTTTGAGCCGAATCCGAAATAAAATCATTGATTAAAGTCTGTGATGTTTTTCACTGTTGTGTTGGTTTACTTTGTATTTTTGAGCCTTTTACTTAAGGCAGATGTTCCACCTGAGGGCCAAAATCGTTATTTCCGAACTTTACCCCTGGAATATGAACGGGCTTCACAAATAGGTAGGCAAAATCGAGGACTGTTAGCATTGTTTAGGAGCCACTTTTTTACATCCTGAAGAATTATTTAGTTAAAGTATGACAAAGCTGGACAATTGAAAAAAATGGCGCTTTTTGTAAAAATATACAATAGATATTGGAAAAGTCCTCGTGTACGATAAATCCATGCTCCAGTTCTATATGTGCATGACAAATGTCATTAAAGTACAACGATAAACCTCAGAGAAGTCGGTGAAAAATATGGTAAAAGAGTGAAAACTTGAGAAAAAAAATGTTTGGGGCTTTTTTTTTCATATAAAAATAATGGCTAACATTTTATATCAGTAAAAAAAAATGTGTAGGCTTTCTTATTGGTAATGCATGTGCCGAAAAGCATTTACATTGGTCAGTAAATGCATGAGTGATTGCAAAAGTATACAGCAGCCCACAAAATCCAGACGGTGTGGGCGCGTAAGTGTTTGTGCGTGTGTGTGCGTATGTATGTGTGTATGTATGTGTACGTTTGTGTGTGTGTATGTTTGTGTGTGTGTGTGTGTGTGTGTGTGTGTGTGTGTGTGTGTGTGTGTGTGTGCAATTGAATGTATACCGAGTTGCAAAAGTTCTGTCACACCTATTATATCACGATAATTTTCGGTATAGCGTAAGAATTGCAGTATAAATTAAAAGAATGACTTGTGGGACTTATGAGACTTCCTGTGCAAGAGCAGACCAAAGAAATCCTAAACCGGAAGTAGTACGTGGACAAAGTGTTGGTATTGATTTCTCTCGGTCTGTGTTGAAATCAACGCTTCCTACACACAAAATTTGCTTTGAGTCACGTAGACAATGTGTAAACACACCTTACACACAAAATACCGTACTTTTTAACGGTTGGATAAACTTTTCTCCTGTTTTCAAAATTTAAGAAATGATAAATTCAGAAAATAAAGAGGCTGTGTGTGTGATAAATTCTTTTATTGCGCTTTCTGCTGTTGCAAGACTCGTAAATGTTTGCAAAGGAACCATCTAACGCGTGAACAAACGTTTTAACATAACTAGAACTGTCCAAGGCAAACCGAGACGTAGGCAACCAAGGGCGACAACTCGACATCAGAATTGGGTTATTGTCAACACCCAAGTTGAAAACCCATTCCAACTTAGTGCAAAGACTGCCGGGCACTTCGGACTGTCTTGAAACATCACTATTAGACATTTATAAGGTCGTGGATTATGTGATTATCGCCCTTTATATGGAGCCATGCTAACCCTGTTTCATAAAAGAAATTGCCAAATTTTGACACAGCAACATTGTTAATAGAACTAAAGACGCCGATAAAGTGTTCTTTTTAGCAATGGTTCAGGTTTTCAGTTCGTCGCATTGATGGAAGAGAAAAGGTGTTTAAAAGAAGAGAAGAGAAATTTCACAAATCCAACGTCCCCCAAGAGGCCCGAAGGTGGCTGAAATGTGATGGTAGGGGGTGGAATCTCTGCTTATTATCGTATACTTTTAGTTACTTTTCAAAGCAACCTCAAATAACGACAGTATTGTGACGAAATTCTTTGTCATGGTGACTACGCTACATGGCACGGATGATGGAATGTGCAACAAGACAACGCCAGACCCCAAATGGCTAAGATCAATGAAAACTTCTTCCAAACACATCAAATCGTTGTTCTGGACTGGCCTGCAAGATTCACAAGCCATAACCCAACAGAACATTTGTAAGATGACCTTGACTGGAGGATTAGAAACAGGCCGTACTCCGTACAAACTGGTCAGGAACTGAAGAATGCACTTCACAAGGAATGGCAGGGGATTCTTCAGACAACCATAAGGACTTCAATTCAGTCAAAGAACAGATGTTGTGTATCAGTAATTCAAGCTGGAAGAGGCCACACACCGTACTGAGCAAACTTTGATTTAGATTTTGCAAGAGTCAGTGTGAATAAAATTATCTCCCTTGAATAAGGAAAGACATTTGTCAATTCTTTTTAAGTCATGTTGGCAGAACATGAATGAAGATCGCGTGTACCCAATTTATCTTGGCTATGTTGAGCAGTAAATGAGTTATTGTACTTTTACGGTTGGTGTGACAAAACCTTTGCAACTCTGTATATTATGTACATTTTATTAATTTGTTTACATAAATCGTGAAGATCTGGAGACGGTACCCAAAAGACATCACAAAACTTCAAAGAAGCATTTTCTCCAGAGAAGGAAAGCATGTATTAGAACTAGGTGACAACCCAAAAAGTAACAAGCAACTTTTATATCTTAACGCGGTTTTTTTCCTTCTTTTTTTTTTGCTTGTTTGTTTGTTGTTGTTTTTTCAGGTTGTTGTTGTTTTGTTTGTCTGTCTGTTTGTTTATTTGTTTGTTTGTTGGGCGGTACATTTAATTTTTGTCCCGCAATGTAAACCATATCTTTGACAGGGTTGAAACCTGTCATTTGCTTTATTAAAGTAAAGCCTTATAGACTCGCACAGTGGTGGCATTTCTAAAGACAGTCGATTTGGTGTTTTTGGAATAGCGCTCTTAGGATTTGGATGAGCTTGGGGTAAATTGTTACTTCACAACAATACGCTAGCATTTACAAAAGTAGACCAACTAAGTCATGTCAAATTACTCAAAATCAAATTATTTCATATTTGCTCACGCTAGAAACAAAAGACAAAGCGAAAAGCAAGCCTAGTCAGGATTTCTAGTAACATTGCTGGAAATAAAATCCAAAAGTCTTCATATAAATTTCACCAGTGTGGTCTCTTATTTTGTTGAGATATTTCACTTCTGCATCGATTAAATTTAGATCATTCAGGAGGCGATGTACTTCGATCTTGCCTATCAGGGCTAGCCTACTAAATCAGCTAACTAACTGCTAAACGGAGACACCTGATTTTAGAAAGACCTCCCGACTCGATAATCAAACCCGGGTTTTACTGCGTACAACGACGATGAGCCCAACCATTGCGCCGCAAACACTGGTCTGTGATCTCCTTTCACAGGCATAGCTCTACAAATTTGATTAAAGGTAATGCTGAAGTTTGTTTGTTACGTGGCTTAACCGATTTTCCCACAGAAATGTTGACACGCAAATGTAGTAGTTCCCAGCTAACAAATGCCTCCCTTTAGGGAAGGGAACAGCTTGAATGTTCACTTTCATCTACTCAAGTCTCAGTAAGCTAACAAGAGAATCCAAAACAAATTCTTAGTTCAGAAAAGTCACGACCCTAAGCCGGCCCGGATCATTAGGCCATGACCAATTAAGGATCGTCAGATATAGATGTTTCTCGCTGACTCATCAACTCTCTTACATTCTCTTTACGTAGATTTAGTACGGATTTAACGCTCCTTTCAACGCAGTATTATTTTCTCAGAATTGGGTTATAAAGTCGTTGTCCAATGGTACTGAATCAGTGGGTATTATACAGTCAGAATAAGGCTAAGAATATTTATGAGCAGGGCATTCTTTGTTTGGCTTCTCTCATTGTTATTGTTACAGGGAAATGACTGCCTCGGTCCCTTTTCCACCTTTGTAGAGAGGCAGGGATTATTGTGAAGTTAATTTATGTCACATATCAAACGGGAAATAACAATATTGCCAATTGGTTACGGTAAGAAAAACAACGCAACAGCTCTCGTAATTAGACTTGTTTTTGACAAAAGTTGAATTGAGTTGATATTATGTTGGCGTGGGCACTTGAGAAAACGAGACATCCAGAGACTGGTGGCGCGTAAGACACATCCACCTCGCCCTTGAAATAATATTAAAAGCCAAGAAGAGAAAGAGAAAATAATGGGTCAATGACAAGTGAATTAGGCGGGAAGAATAAAAAAGATAGTCACGAATGAAAGAAGCGAGAGGACAGGTAACATTTCGGACCATGATATAGAAAGAAATACGAGTCGCTTGTTAAAGGCCAAAACTAATACTAGATCTATATTATTATAAGTTAACTGAAGATTCACATAGCACGTTTGAAGTAGGCACGAGCAGGCAGTATGGTGTATAAGCTACAAGCAGTGGTATTCAACTGTCCAGAAGAACGAAATGTCCACATAATATGAACAAAACGAGAAAGACTTCTCCAGCTGAAGCTCTAAAGTGCTGACGTGATTACCTGTTAACGGAGGCTGATTTGGGTAATGTGGTGGCTCTGTCAATGCCCTTGCTCGATAACATTTCGGAAGCAGCCTACCCAACATTGTGATAGCAAACAGTGGACAGTTCCAAGATAGTGCACATTGTTGTTCCATATTTATTGTTACACTTGGAGGGACGTGAGTTGTTGTTTTTTTTTAAACAAACAGTAAAGCCAGTCAAAAATGCCTTGAGGGGGCAAAACACTCAAAATTGGGTGTTGTATTTTCAAGGATCTACCTAACTCGGCAACTCCAAGGGGAGAGGTCACGTGAAGGCTGCGTTCCGCTATGGTGATGTGCCTTCTATCTGGCTGTGCTGACTTAAATATGTGTTTAATGAGTTCACCAAATTTTCTGTAGCTTTCATCTGTATGCCATTACCATTGCTCCTTTCATCGCACTATTGACGTATTCAATTGTCATTACCGCCGTTCCAATATAATTAAATTCACGTGCCCAAGGTACCTGTCTCGACAATTCTACCCTGCTACAACACCACAGCACCGACCACGCTTCCAGACTAAGCGCATTGTCATGACTACCATAAAATCTCAATGATCAACCAATATTGTTATGCTCAAGAAGCGTCAACTGTAGACCTATGCCCGCACCAACCACCTATCATAATTATTAATTATTGCCATAATTATAGTTTCTGTACTGTATTATCACCTTACTCATCTGGTCTACCACCTAACGGTGTTCCATGTACCATTACCACGTCATAGGCCTACATATTGTAAGATAAATCATGATTTATTGAT